TTGAATTGCTTTAGCACTCCAATAAGCTGGTTACATTCCTCAATGATTTTGTCCTCGCAGGCCTTCTTTCCCATTCCAAAGTCTTTGAGGTTAGTCAAGGTAAAGCGTCTCATCTCTTTCCATGATTCACCATTGGCCCATGTAATGCCTGAGTTAAAGTGTTTCAGAAAAATATGTTGAATAAAAAACTGAAGGATGTAGGTTTAATTAAATTATAAATGTTTTCCTCACCATGCCCTTGATTATATTCCTGAAAAATTAGAAATGGGTCTCTGTCTCCAAACTCTTGAGCATGGTTAACAAGTGCCTCCTTCACCGTCTTGTAACCTGCCAGGACCACCACTTTATTTGTTCCCATATAGATGGTAAACACTGATCCATATTTTCTGGAAAGCTAAGAACAGAATAAGGTCATGATATGTATTTTATATAAAACGTGCACAATAAAAAGCACACAAGATAAGATAGCTGTAAAACAGACCCTACAATAACTTGTCTTCCGGCACTGCTTCACCTCCATTAATGTGTGGTAGGGTCTCCTCAGGTCAAGCTGCAGCAGGTTCCCAAGGAAGGGAAGTGGTTTTGGACCTGGTGGTTCCTTTCCTTCATCCTGGGAGCTGAAGCTGGAAGAAAATAAGATGTAGAAGCACATCAGGACAACTAGAGCCATCAACAGGGAGCTAGTGCTCCAGGCCTGGAGAAAAATATCTAATATTCCCATGACGTTAATCAAGTCTTCTGAAGTCCAACTCTAACTTGTTTGCTATGTGGGTGTTTGGATGAAGAGGTAAGTCTTTGGAGGCTTTAAGTAGAGAATGGACAAGGGAGGGACAAGATCTGCAGAATAATTAGTTGTTACATAATGTTTGTGTGTTGTTTGTAAGTTTGTGTGTGTGGTTATGTTTGAACATTAATGATGATAATCTCCTTATGGTCAAAAGGATGCCATTTCATGTTTAACGTCATATTATTCTTTTAACAACCGGGTTCACATAAAATGAACATGATAAAATGTGCTCAATGCCCTCTCAGTCCTGGCCAACTTGACTCCAAGCCTTTTTAGGTTTTTTAACTTGTAAAAAATATGGACCTAAAAAATGTTGAGGAAACATATCCCTCCTGTGTGATCATCAATAGAAGAGAGGCAAATATTTATAGCTTGCAATAAAGCCTTCAAATTGTTTCTCTTGGAGCTTTTCGGGCTCTATTCAAACTTTGTCTTAAATGGAATTTAGGAATACAAAAAAGTAGTAAACCATTAACAGCTCATCAGCTTCTTTCAGATCATGGTGTCTGTAGAGGAAACTTCTGTGTAGCTATGCAGTGGGAGTCACCGACTCAGGAAGGAGACACGGGAAGAGCAGTAGCTTTGATGTCAAACACATGATGGTTTATTTGGAGTTAACGGCCGGAGGATTCACATCACAAGTCCAAGAGTCAGAGGTTCTGACTTCACGGTAGAGTTGCCACGTCAATTCTGAAGAACTCTACCCCAGACCCATGTATTTAGCTAGTTCAGAGAGCATCATCAATATGCTGCATAACAAGATAGAATGATAACACCTCTATCAGCTGACGCCAACAGGCAGGAACAGGGAGACAAAACACTGAGAGCACAGCAGCCAAGGTTACAGGTGCCTGTGCTCAGTCAGGACAGTTTGAACTGATACACTGGGTCAAAGTTATGGGCCTTGGAAAATATTTCCACAACAGTGTCCAATATGTTGTCTCATTTTACCTTTATCCATTTTCCCTATTGCCTAAGTTAATATGTAATTTAAAGTACTTTGAAAGGAACAACTTGAACCAACTTTCTTACTTTTTAGCAAACAAATGTTGTGCTGAAAGAACCGATGCAATCAACTTTCACTCTCAAAGTCAGAAACATTAGCAAGGTCATGAACTGTGAACTAGATTTAAAAGCCACATATTCAGGGTGACACAACTAGCTTTCTGGGTCTGTGTACGTTTTGTTAGTTTGATTTTTCGTTTGAACCAAAAGCCAAAAAACGAAAATACCAGCCTTTTTTCGTTTTTTCGTAATTGATTTAAAACGGAAAACCAAAGCCGTTTTCCTGTTTGTGTTGTCTGAATCAAAAGACGGATAACGAGAAAACCTAATAAAAAAAAGTCTGTACGTTTTGTTAGTTTGATTTTTCGTTTGAACCAAAAAAACAAAAATACCAGCCATATTTCGTTTTAAATCAAAAACGGTGAAAGTAGGGCGACAGTTCTGTTCACATCGCTGACATTTGTCACAGGTAAATCTTGCAACAAACATGACGTTGTTCAATGGTTGTCACACAGCGACAAGCTGGACACTGGATTTGCCGACACAGTACAAACCGGAAGTCAGCAAAATAAAGTTATGCAAATTAACTTGTAATTAATACAAGTTATACTTGTATTAATCTCTATAAACGCATATCTGCATGTGAATGCAGAAATAAACGTATCCGCGTCAGCATGGGTGCCGGAAGCAGGGGGGCCAATGGTCGTCAGACTTCTGGGTCTTTTACAGCATTGCCATTATATCCTCCTGTCTTTTATTTTGAAATATGTTCTTTAACTTCCGGTCCACCGGACTGCTTTTCTTAATTCTTCATTACAAAACGGAAAATTGAATGAAGTTGTTATCAAAAACCAAAATCAGACCGTTTTTTTTAATTAGGTCTTCTTGTTATCCGTTTTTTGACCTAAACAACATAAACAGGAAAACGGCTTTGGTTTCACGTTTTTTTCCTGCAAGATTTACCTGTGACAAATGTCAGCGATGTGAACAGAACTGTGGCCCTACTTTCACCTGCACCCAGCAGCTAGCGGGAGAACGATATCTCATACAGTTCACACAGTAATGGAACAGTTGTTAAGCATTATTTTGTCCAACTAGTCTCTACATTATGAATTTGATGTTTGTCTAAACTGCTAAGAAGCTGACAGCTGAGTTAGAACAGAGAGACATGCAGGCCATAATCACTAGACGCTCAAAAGAGGAATGTGTGTGTAAGGCTTACATGAACTGAATTGAAACACTGTCCATTAGTTGATTAATAAACAAGACATTCAAGTCAAAGTTTTAGGCATTTTCATGTGTAGCACGCTGTAAATATGGACTATGAATGAACACATGCAATGTGGAAACACACACATAGGTTTATTCTCCATACTCATAACAGTATCCACTGAGAGGAAACGGCATCATCGCATATTTGTAGCAGAGAATAAACGTCTGACAGAATGGACGCAACATTTTACTTGAATGTACTCTCATTTTGGTACTTCAGTTTCAAGGTAAGTCTCTTTTTTTTCCTTATTTAAACTTTAGTTGTAATTAATAACAGGAACCAGCCATAATTTCCTGTTTTAGAGGCACCTTTTAATAAGCTTTGAAAATAAGCCAAATGTTGTGTGAGACAAGACACAAAAGTATTTTTTTTTACAATCAGTAATGTGATAGAATATTCAAATATATTTTAAATGCATGAAGTCAGTTTATACATAGAGTACAACATATATTACACTCAGAGAATTACATAATATGTACAGATCTGTGTCAAACTTGTTATTATGATCAACTGTGTGATTCTTTAGTATAGATTCAACAGTGGAGGTAAGACATGAATAGTTCCCAAAGTTCCATAACAAAAAAAATGGACATCTTCTTGCAGATTATTTCACACGTGATGTCTTATTTATTTTCTATCAGGCATTAATGGAAAATGCACTTCTGTCTATAGAAGAGTTGGACAAGATGCCATTCTACACTGTGACACCTCATCATCCCCTGAAACCTCATGCTCAACCGTTGGGTTTTACAACCAAGATCTATCAGAATCTTTGACTGTGTTAGAGAACGGAAATGTTCAGAAGAGCCTCCCCGAGCTGCCAGTCTAAGTTTGAACACTAACTGCTCTTTGGTCATGACCAACGTCACTGCAGAGGATGTTAGTCACTAAACCTGTCGGCAGCGGACACACTCTAATCAGGATATCTGTCCATACCTAAGTGTTCTGACAAGTGAGTAATTTCCATGAACAGTCATTGATATGATCAAATGGGAATTCTACTTTTGGCACATTTTGAGGGCGATTAACGAAAGTCTCCGTCACACCATCAAGTTTGAGGAAGCAAGTGTAGATGGAGTGGACGGGCATAATCTCCAGTGGTTGGTTATAATTTTTTCTTTGTTTTCCTTGTTTTTTCTTGAAAAACACAGAGAGGTCTTGATTCCATTTGGTTCAGTTCACCTTCAAACAAAGAAAAACATTGATGACAGAAGAAGGAAAGAAACTTGCCAGGATCATCCTGGAAGATGACTAACATGTTGTTAAACCACGTTTTAAGCGATTACATATCTTGTTTCAGTCTCTCCATCTCCACATGATGCAGGAGAGACAGTGAAGTCGCATTAAAGTGCTCCATGTTGAGACACACAGGTCTTGATCCTTGTCAACGGAGCAGCATCCGCTGGGTAGATGAACCAGGAACTAAAGCGTTAGATTCGCACCAACAGGAGATACACCTGCCAGTTTGTTGATGAGCACAATGTGCCGATAGAGGCTGACTACACACCTGACTTCAACCACAGATCCCCCTCTTGATGAGACCTTCATCATCATTAGGGGGTTGGTAGTGCTGTTCGTCATTGCTGCTGTTCTCATCAACTACATCCAATACAGAAGGTGAGTAAACGGCTACGTAGTACAATGATTAGCTCTAAGACTGTCAGGTGCATGATTTAATTTCTTCAGCCCACCAGGTGGCAGAATTTAGCAACAAACCTCCAATATGATAAACTTTCAAAGTTGTTATGCTACTGTGTTAGCAAGCAGTTACTTATCCACACATCCAGCGAACAAAGATCAACATATAAATGATAACGCCCTGCTGAGCTCTGCCAGGTCAGGGTTTATTTTTAACCAAGGCTTCAAAATGGACCAACACAAAAATATCCAGATAGCCAAAGTTAATGTTAAACTGGGACAGAGAAGCCTCTAGCATCAAGTCAAAATCAACTTTATTGTCAATCTTCTGTATGAGATACAGCATTCACAAATGCACAGATTCAGCATGATGTTCTGCATTCTACAGTAATAGCAATTTTAATTGAAGCTGCCTGCTCTGCTAAAAATAATGTTCCATATAAACAAAACCGCTCCTTTTAAACTCATTTTAAAGGACGCTTGTTTTGTCCCGGATAACATCTGTTTTTGATTTTCACAAACAGTGTTTTAATCAAAGTAAGTGCTGTCTCCGTAGGGAGGTCGTTTGCATAGGTTGGTTAAACAAACATTGGACTTTCACAGAGGAGACCGTATGCAACTGTGATCATAATCCAGGAGAGTTCCTTTTGAAATGTAGTAAATCCAGTTATAGGGCAGTTTGCAAATCATTACATTGGACCTGAAACATATCAAGGTTAAGTTGTACATTCGGCATACTGTTAAGCTTTAACTTCACTATTACACATTGTTGTTAGCATTGAAGTCTATTTGTCATAATGGGATAGTAAAAGGAGCATATCAGTGAGTTTTATTAGTAATAAAGAAAATGATAATCTGGGTGAAACTGCTCAAAGTAGTGACATTTAGCAACTAAATAGAAATACGTCTCTATTACTTTAAATTACATCATTGATATTGAAAATCTAATCTTGGCTTACTTTATCACTACATTTAATATAATGATGTACAACTCAAAATCTTCAATCTTGAACCAACTCGCTCCATTGACTGTTAGCAGCATTGTAAAGCTCACACAACAGGAACAGCACACAGTTTATGAGGCGACGGGCTAATGGCAAAGCTCACTATTGGAGTCAGATCCAATTCATTCTCTGAAACTCCTGGAGGAGGAGTGAAACGAAAGTGCTGCAAGAGGCTGGTAAAGAAGAGGAAAATCTCCATTCTGGCCAGACTCTCCCCAGGACACTGCCTGCGACCTGTGAGGGAAAACAAAAGGAATATTTTCAACTCATCTGCAAAATAAGTGAATATTGAGGAGTGATGGCTAAATTCACAAACCTGCTGAAAAAGGCAAGAAGGCATCTCGCTTGACAAACTTCCCATCTTTGTCCAGGAAGTGAGCAGGATAAAAGCTGCTGGGGTGTTCCCACTCAGTCTCATCACACAGGACGGATGTCAAGAGAGGATACACTGTGGTCCCCTGTGGACAATATACAGTATTTTTATTTAGTGACAAGCCACTTAACTCAACACCCCCATTTTGAATTATGTAGGAATCATTCTTCCAAGTCATCTTGCAGGGCTCGACATTATAAATGGCCCGCTGGCCCGGAAGCACTATTTAGACACCCCGGGCCAGCATAACGTACTTTCCACTTGCCCGCTCGGGCCACTAAAAATATTGCTTTAAAAAAAATGTGTCCTGTGGTATTGCTATTTTGACCAGCAATTTAGTTAAATTGTTTCGTTTACTAACGCTAAAACATAGCGTTTCGTGAGTCGGTTGTCGTTGTTGGGTGAAAAGCAAACAGCTGTTTGCTGCGGAGCGCAGCGCGAGCAGACTCCTATGAGGGGGAACGCGCTCGTTCACTACAGACTATCGCGCCACCTAACCATTCGCCAAAATGTTTTTAATACCACCGGTAACCGGCCAAGCAAAAAACTATCTTCAAATAAAAGAAAGTTACCGGAGGAGTTCAAGGAGAGTGACAGGGAGCATGAGAAGAAGAGGGAGAGAACGTTTCAGCCAGCTTGATCGATGGAGTTGATTTCTAGTGGTGCAGTGACGCATTCCTAAAACCCTTTTATAATCTATCAATTAGATTTATGATTCGAAAATTATAAAAGTAGGGTAGACATGTGGAGATTATCCGGCTGAACAAAACGTGCATTTATCAAACAGGTTTGTTTTCCACAGACCTTATTTACAGCTATTTTCCAAAACCCTGTGGAGAAATCCCATTGCTTTTTTGTCGAGGAAACTATCAGCTTACTTCCTGGTTTTAGGACGCGTCACTGCACCGCTCTATATGATGCCAATATAAACAAGGTCTATTGTCAGCTCTGTACATCAATGCCGACCTATGCTGACAAGTAAGTGAAGAGTAGAGAATATAAAGGTATTGGCTATAGGGAAATGTCCCAGCGGATAATGAAGGTTCTAATCTATTACATTACATTACTAACTCCTAATGACAGGAAGGCAGAAAGCGCATTATACAAATAATAATACTCATAATAGCAGACATTTTTTAACAATGACCACAATATCATTATTTTAATAAACCAAATATGAACAATTGAGGAAAATGAGGAAGAACTGATGATTCAAATGTTGTAGTACAAGTAGTAATGTAGTTTGTGCATACATTACTATTGCAACAAATGTGTTCATTTTCTTCATTATTAGTCGATTTTTTTTGGACGAATGCTCCGGGCCAGTGGTTACAATGGTGGGGCCAGTGATAATACAATTCCACCGACCCTTAATGTCTACCCCTGTCTTGGGTTCTTTTGGTGTTTTATTTTATCCAACCTTCTTAATGAAGTGACCCTGGAAAGTGATGTCTTGGCTCATTTTGTGAGGAAGTGCCATGGGGACGATGTTAGCCACTCGCTGGATTTCGTGGATGACGGCATTTGTGAAGTGCAGGTGTTGCCTGTCCTCAACCTGCACTTGACGACCTCCTTTAACCTTGCTTAGCTCCTCCTGGACCTGTTCTGGAAGACCATATTTTTATGTCCATTAAGATTATTTTCTTTAGTTGGTGAGCACATATTGTTTCCTGGACTGTTTTTGAAAATTGTGAGGATTCTAAGCTCCTTACCTTGTATTTTTGGATTCTTGGCCATATATAGTAGTGCCCATCTCAGTGTAGTTGCTGTTGTGTCAGTGCCAGCAGTAAAGAGGTTAAGAACCGTCTGTATAAGGTTTTTATCATGGAAGTGACTGTCTGTGATTCCGGATTCCTGCAAGTAAAGATAAGTCAGGTATTCAAACAAATCTGAACCAAACCCTTGACGTGTTACATAGGAGGGCATTTTTTGTTTTGTTGAGGTATAGTTTGGCAAGCCTTTTATTATTTAATCAAAGGGCTGACTAGTACTGATGTAGTCATCTCTATTGTAAATTACATCTCAAAATGTCAGAATGTTAATCAATTTGAATCACTGCTTGTCCATATCATCTTATGGACATGTTGGCTTGGATCTCTATAGTCAGAAAGCAATTGCTGATTTCTAAAATTGCTATTACTGCTGGTGATTAACTGTTAGAACTAATTGCATTTCCTCCTTTGTCACTAACAACTCAACTGGTCACGGAAAAGGTGTAGACGGGGTAAGTAATGAAATGCTTCCCAACCTCAAGATTTTGCTTTCGGAGTAGAAAGGCGTCCACAAATCCTCTGCACATCTGTGGATTGAGGGTCTCTTTCAAACGACTAAACAACTGCTGATTCTGTTTCTTGCTCTCAACAATTATCGCGTGAAGTTCCTTTCGATCAGCAATCCATTTACCGATCCATGGGAACATGTTAAACACCTTTAAAAAAACAAACAACAACAACCTTCAAATCAGTTGCCCCACATTCCTCTATGTATATTAAAATCAAATCTCAAAGTCTAAGCTTGATCAAAAATAATAAATGAAATAAGATAGGACTTTTTTTATCCCACAGAAAATTGTTGTGCCAGAGTTACAAAGATACAATAAACACAGCGGCATAAATGGCACCTGTATTGACGGGGAGCCCAGGAGTTCAATATTTCTGGTTGCTCGATGTACCAGTGATGTAAACTCTGCATCATCATATTCAAATCTGCTGCCATAAACAATTGAGCAGATCATATTAGCCACCGCCTGGTATATGGGTTGAGTTGTATCAAAAGCTTCTCCTGTAAAAAGTAAAACAAATAAAAACCACAAACTTTAACCTGTTGCTTATCATGCAGTTGGTTTTAATAAGACACTTACCTTTACATTTCTTTAACACGTCAATGAGGTAGGTGCATTCCTCAATGATTTTGTCCTCACTAGCCCTCTTGCCCATTCCAAAGTCTCTGAGGCTAGTCAAGGTAAAGCGCCTCATCTCTCTCCATGATTCACCGTTGGACCATGCAATTCCTAAAATAAAACCAATGTTATGGCCAGACCATGTTTGCTCAATGTTTTCAATTGTGGATTGCGTCCTGATTTGCTGTTATCCAGCACCAAAAACAATAAAACGTTACTAAAAATGTTCCTTACCATGGCCTCCACTAGTTTCTTTTGTTATTTGCATTGCATATCTGTCACCAAACTCATCTGCATAGTTGACAAGTGCTTCCTTCACAGTTTTGTATCCAGCCAGGATCACCACTTTTTGGGGTCCCAAATGCACTGTGAAAACGGATCCATATTTCTTGGAAAGCTAAAAAACAAAAACAAGGGCATCATCATATACATTTTTATTTTTTTAATAAAAATGAACCAGAAGACCAACAATGTGATATCTGCAGAGCACATATAACATAACACCCCTAAAGAAATGAACGTTAGTTCAATAATTTCCTCACCTCCATAAATGTGTGGTAGGGTCTCTTGAGGTCGAGCTGCAGCAGGTTCCCAAGTAGGGGAAGTGGTTTTGGACCTGGAGGTCCCTTCCCTTCATCCTGGGAACTGAAGCTGGAGGAGGAGAGAATGTAGACGAGCAGCAGGACAACCAGAGCTCCAAACAGGGAGATGGAACTGAAAGACTGGAGAAACAGATCCAATAGCCCCATGATTTCAAAAGAAAAAGCTTCCTTGTTTCTTTTGGAGCTTATGGTATGGACACAGCCCAGGCTGTTCAATGTAATTATCTATTAACCTGATGGTCAAAGGGCAATCCCACTCCCTGCAGCCAACAAATCCAGTGCCATTGGGCAGGACACAAACATTACATTACTCATTTAGCAGGCATGTCTATGATATTTACATTTGTTACAGCAGAAAAGAGCGAAAGACAGCTTAATATTAACTAAGAAGCATGCATAAAAAAATATATATATATTAAAGATACATTTTTTTAAAGAAATGTATGTAAGTTGCTTTGGATAAAAGCATCAGCTAACTAACTTGCAATATACCTTTTTAGAAAGAGTGTACTTTTATTGTTTCATTGGTTTACAGATTTCTTATCTTCAATGTCATGTGATCCGAAGGGGAGAGTTTAATGGAACAATAAAGTTAGGTCTTGTATTGACAGATTCCTCTGTCCCAGTCTGTTGGTTTTGGATATTGGCTCTTCAAAACGTAAACCCATTTAGAGTCCATTGGCACTGTGTTGGGTTTGGGGGAGGGATGAGGGAGGGCATGCCTTCTTTACTGCAGCAGATCCATTATTTTCTAGGTAACTACAGAGTGCGATCAGCTCGGTATTGGCACAGTACACAGAAACATGGCAAAAGAAAATTAACAGCTATGACATGAACAGCAGCAATCAGAATGAAATGAATCACCTCTTTGATTTGTCCAAAATATAAGGTGCTACATTAGGATCAATATGTAAGGGATAATGTGCAGCGACGCGGTCATTATGAGGAAAATAACACCTTCATGCCGATCTAGATCCCTCCGCTTCGCGTCGGGCTCCTGATTATCCCGCTTATTACATGGCCACATTCTCAACAAAGTAACGATATGACTCCCAATATTAATTGAAATGCTTTTATGGATTTAGAAAATGATTTTATTGATTTAAAAAATAGTTTTTATTTAAATTGACATGCATCCGCTAAGACAAATAGTCCGTTGTTACTGTTTGAACTAACGTAGCAATGGCAGGAACTGCTTAGATAGCGTTTTTGAGGACCTTTTTAATTACAGATTTGAAAACATCGCTGCTTGCTTTAAAAGTAGCACAATTCATTATGTCAAACCTTGGAAAGTATCTAGATATCCCTGCCCTAATGCCAAATGAACTGGCAACTGAATATGTGTCGCCGTTTGATGTCTATGTCTGGACCGCTGCGTACAAAGGAGGGTTTCTGCCCGTTACTTCTCCGCTGTTTTCTTGTCGCTCTTGTCTTGTCGCTCTTGTCTTGTCAGTTAGACTGTATACAGTTAAATCGAACGGACTTGTTTGTGCAGAGGTGAGCGTCCTTAACAACGGTCAATAAATCCTGTCTGTTATGGATTAACAACGTGTCACGTGTTCTGAATTGACCAATCAGAATCGAGTATTCAACTAAACCATGTAATAAGCATGTATATGAGTACCTGAAAATGATAACACATTTTTCAGCCAAAATGAAACCAACTTGGGAACGTTGCGAACGTGTGGACCACATTTTACACAGAAATGCTGTTTTCAGTTCAATTGTATTTATATAGCGCTAAACAGTCATAGAAGCTATCTCAAGGCACTTTTCATAAAGAGCAGGTCTACACAGTAGCTTTTCGATCATTCATTACAATGTTTACAGACCTTAACCTTAATTGTTGCTCACCCTTCTGGCTTTCATTTCGCAAGTTTTTTTTAATTTAGGATTATGGCATCCAAATTTAGGATTCCTAACTAAGGACATTTCTAAGTTAGGACAATTTTTCAATCGCTAACTTGTGATAACGTTTGGATACATGTACCCTAATACAACTCTCAACTGAGACGAGACAGGCAGTCAGAAATGTCTCTTATAAGGAAAGGAAAAAAAGCAATTCCCATTGTGTTTACTGCTCGTACAGATTTGATAGAAACAAGGTCGAGGTCTTCAAGTATTCACTCACACAAGCTCATTTACCCTGATTTTGCAAACCCTTGAAAAATGATTACCAGTGTGTATTATTCAATGGCTCATGGCAATGGCATCTTCTTTTAGGAAAGGATTACAACTTTTCCTCAGCTCCCAGAATATATAATCTCTTTATAAAATCTGCAGACATTCAATTTATTCAGTCAGAACATAATTTCCAATCTTTATTCCAGACTCAAGGTCCATATCACATACAAAAAGACAAAACACACATCAATACATACCCTGTACCTTCCCTAATATAGCTTTAACATGGTAACTGTTACCACGGTTTTGCTTCCTTTTTGATTCAAAACATTTATTTTGTCCATTATTTTCTAACCATGTATAAATAAATTACTTTGTCTAGTTTTTAATAACACAAACTGTTATAGAGCACTTAAGCCTTGACATACGGTCATTTAATTCATTTTTCTCGTCAAGTCAGGCTGCTACATATTTTATTCTTTTTTTATTTTAGACTTTTACATCATTTTTCATCACAGCATTAGTTCTAAGACTTTCAGATGCATGATTTAATTTGTTTCAGCCCACCAGGTGGCAGAATTTCTCCCAAAAAGAAACAGACAAAGTTATTATGCTACTGTGTTAGCAAGCAGTTACCTATCAACATATCCAGCGAACATAAATCAACATTATCAATTATAAAGCCCTGCTGAGCACTGCCAGGTCAGGGTTGATTTTTAACCAAGGCTTCAACATGGACAACAACGAAAATGTCCAAATAGCTGAAGTTAATGTTAGACTGGGAAAAAGAAGCCTCTAGCATCAAGTCAAAGTCAACTTTATTGTCAATCTTTTGTGTGAGATACATTATTTACAGATACACTGATTCAGCATGATGTTCTGCGCCCTATAACAATAGCACATTTAATTGAAGCTGCCTGGTCTCCTAAAAATAAGGTTTCATAAAAACAAAACCGCTCTTTTGAAACCCCGTTTTGAAGGACCCTTTTTTGTCTCGGATTACATCTGTTTTTGATCTTTCACAATCAAGGTGTTAATCAAAGGAAGTGCTGTCTCCGTAAGGAGGTCTTTTGCATAGGATGGTCAAACAAACACCGGACTTTCACGGAGGAGATTGGTGTTCCGTGTAAAACTATTAGTCAACCAATAACTTATATTTTATGTATCTCCATTACTTTAATAATATAATAAAGTTCTTGTTTTAAGCCAAACCATGATCTTTAGCTTAATCTAACCAAGTGGCTTACTTAATTGGTGGAAACGTTTTTCCACTAAGCGTGTAGGAGCCATGAAACATGTTTAGTAATCCTTTATGTTTTAATATAAGATATGTGTTTGATCTCTATTGATTGGTTGGCTTGGGTCACATGGATATGGGCGGCACTCATTATAATCCCGTTCACCTACGTGAGGTGTGGGTGGAAGAGAGGGTGACACAGGGCCGTTGTACTTTTTTGTTGACCGCAAGTTGAAATGATTGCTTCGATTAATATAACAATGTACCAGGGACGTGCAGTCAGGGGAGGCAGGGGAGGCAGAGCCTCACCTGTCATACTCCAATGTACGGAAAAACAACTAAAGAAAAACTAAATAGTAATAATAATAAAATGTCTCCACTGACCTGTGTTGTAAATGTGATTTATGTATGATTCCAATCGCTTTTTATAGTCAAAATCAGCTAATTTGACGAGCTCCGCTACAACTACGGGTAGCGATGAGAAGTGAGACAGGGACGAGCTCTGCCTCTCGTAAGCCCACAGTAACTGGCTGGAGCGCGGGCACTAATTTAACACGGGCACTTATTTTGTGAGCGCGCTCAAGCCAGTTACTGTGGGGTAAAGTGAGGCACAGATGAGATCTGCCTCATCTCAGAATACGTCACCCCACAGAAACTGGCTGGAAAGCGGGCCCTAAGTGCATGCCTGCACCATCTCACTGTATGTCACCAATGTAATGTTTGTAGATCCCTTTATTACATTTATCCTCGCCATCCATAGTCTCTAAATAACTTATTTCACGTATATATGATATTTAGGCTCGCTGGTCTCATCGTACAACGGCAATGAAAAAAGCACCAGGGGAGGCAGCCATAACCTCTGCCGCACTGAAGGGGGCGCAAGTGAGCCCACAGGTTCTTGTTGCTACTGTTATTCTACGCAGAGACGGTAGACGCAAACAACAAACTAGACTTTTGAAACTAGAGGAAGATAAGGAGGACTTTTACAAAAAAGTAATAGAGATTGTTGTCCAGAAGGATAGCATGGACTTCATCTTCAAGTCAAGGTAAGACCCCAATTGTAATGAAAATGGGATCTTACTAAGAAACAACAATCCAATATTTAGATTTTGGGTATCCTTTTGTTGAACGGTCTGTTTAAAATGAATCGAAGCATCAGACTAAAAAAGCTTTTGAAAATAACCGAATATTTCGATTAAGGTCAAAATATAATATTTGTAAATCTGACTCTGAAAGAGTCAGTGCCTCACCAGCCATGAACCTCACCGCACGTCACTGCAATGTACATGTCCAAGGAGTATAAGTTGATTATCGCAGTTTTCATTAAACTACATTATTTTGCAACAGAGTTTTTGATTTCAGCAAGTACTTTTTTGTAGCGTGTCACACAATATCAAACAGGCCCGGCCACAGCCTCTCAGCGACTTTGTTTGTTTCCTGCTGTCGCTATAAAGCGTGTTAATCATTGTGTGACAAAAAAAGTCAATGATAAATTATAGGTATTTCTTTAGATTTAACATAAAAAAAACTCATCATCCCCTTGGAAATGTCGTCCTTTACAATGTCTCCTGTATTCCCTGAATTTGAAAGATAAGTTCATATATTTGATATACTGTTAGAGATTTGGAGAGATAACTGGTCCGCTTTTCAAATCTCCGCGCGTTCCTATGAAGCTGGTTATAATACAGGAAGGAATCCATATCTACAAAGTAACCGTTAACAATAATCTACTTTAATGGCAATATGACAATGCAATACAATCATTACAATACAACATGATATATTACAGTTATATTGCAATGCTTAAGGAGTAATGCCGGCTTACTCCTGCTCTAGTCCGCATACTGCAGAGCTACTTTCACCCGAGGGCAGCATGTGAAGAAGAGGCCGAACGCCAGGGAATCCACCGGATATATACCAGAGTAAGAAGGAGGGGTTTGGTGTT